AAGAAGAGTGCGACGAGCACGAAGGCGGCCTGCGGGTTCGTCGGTGCCGCGGGTTGGGTAGGGTACCCTACCCCCAAGGGTGTGTGAACCCTGCGAGGAGGAGGGTACCGCGTAGAAGCAGGCCGCTGCGACGTCTCTCGGGGGCTCTCGGCCAATCTCGGGGAGTCTTGCACCGCGTAGAAGCAGACCACGGCGGCCAGGGTGGCGGGAAAGCCGTCCACCCTGGCCAGCAGCCCGCCGAGCGCAGGGCCGACCATGCCTGGAGAGGTGTGGGGGAGGTGTGGGGGAGGTGTGGGGGAGGTGTGGGGGAGGTGTGGGGGAGGTGTGGGGGAGGTGTGGGGAGGTGTGGGGGAGGTGTGGGGGAGGTGTGGGGGAGGTGTGGGGGAGGTGTGGGGGAGATGTGGGGGAGGTGTGGGGGGATGTGGGCGAGATGTGGGCGAGATGTGGGCGAGATGTGGGGGGATGTGCGTGCGTGCGTGCGTGTGTGTGCGTGAGTGCGTGAGTGCGTGTGTGTGTGTGTGTGTGCGTGTGTGTGTGCGTGTGTGTGTGTGTGTGTGTGTGCGTGCGAGCCTGCCACATTCTCGACCGACTCCATCACGCCGTAAAAGCCGCCCAGCTGCTCCTGGGGTGGGGGAGGTGCGGGGAGACGTGGGGAGATGTGGGGGGAGGGACGCGGCCGTAAGAGCCGCCCCGCCGCTCCTTTTGCGCCAGCCGCGAGGCCGCCGTCGTGATTGCGGTGTTCATCACGCCGAGTGCAACCACCTGTTGATCATCCACTCTTTGAATGACGATGGAGAGATGGGCGCTTGCGGTGCTCACCGCCGAGTGCAGAGGAGTGTGAGCCCAGTGCCGTCAGAGAGGACTTGGTCTTGGGCCCTCTGTTATGGCCCCAGACAAGGTTATGGGAGCGGCCATAACAGGTGTTATGGCTGTTATGGCTGGCTGCTCATAAACACCCCATAACACTCACCATCGGCACGTAGCACGCGTAGACGACCCCCACCTGAATAATAATTAACAATAATTAATAATAATTAATAATGGCAAGTAGCACGCGTAGACAACCCCCACCGACTGCGTGTAGAGCGCGAGCGGCCGAGCGCCGCCGAGGACCAGGATGCAGAGGAGCAGCAGCCGAGACACCTCGAGATTCAGCGAGATTCAGCGAGATTCAGCGAGATCCGCCGAGATCCGCCGAGATCCGCCGAGATCCGCACGAGATCCGCCGAGATCCGCCGAGATCCGCACGAGATCCGCCGAGATCTGCCGAGATCCGCCGCGGTTCCGAGCGGCGCCTTGTCGCCGAACGATCGCACGAGCGGCTTCGCGATGAACCCCTGCGAGAGCGCGTAGGTCAGGCCGACAAGCCTGCGGGGTACCACACCTCCAGAGTACCGAATCCAGTGCGGCGGGGAGATGCGGGGAGATGTGGGGAGAGCTTCCGCTTCTAGGGCCCGAGATACGGGGAGATATGGGGAGATGCGGGGAGATCTTCCGCTTCTAGGGCCCGAGAGACGGGGAGATATGGGGAGATGCGGGGAGAGATTCCGCTTCTAGGGCCCGAGATACGGGGAGATATGGGGAGATGTGGGGAGATCTTCCGCTTCTAGGGCCCGAGAGACGGGGAGATATGGGGAGATGTGGGGAGGTGTGGGGAGATGTGGGGAGATCTTCCGCTTCTAGCGAGTGGCGAGATGTGGGGAGGTGTGGGGAGATGCGGGGAGGTGTGGGGAGAGCTTCCGCTTCTAGGGCCCGAGAGACGGGGAGATATGGGGAGATGTGGGGAGGTGTGGGGAGATGCGGGGAGATCTTCCGCTTCTAGGGCCCGAGATACGGGGAGATATGGGGAGATGTGGGGAGATCTTCCGCTTCTAGGGCCCGAGATACGGGGAGATATGGGGAGATGCGGGGAGGTGTGGGGAGATGTGGGGAGATCTTCCGCTTCTAGGCCCCACGAGCCCCATGAACTGCGCGTGGTCGCGCGGCCCAAAGTCGAAGCGCGCCTGGTCCGAGAGGGGTCCGAGAGGGGTCCGAGAGGGGTCCGAGAGGGTTCCGAGAGGGTTCCGAGAGGGGTTCCGAGAGGGTTCCGAAAGGGGTTCCGGAGTACAGGAAGACAGGTTGAAGCGCGCCCGTTCCGAGAAGGTTCCGAGAGGGTTCCGAGAGGGTGCTAGGGCGGAGGTTTAGGTGCAGGGCCACAGGTGGAGGTGTCCCTGCGGGTGAGGGGGTCCTAGAGAGCGGATCCTAGATAGCGCGCCCGTATCGAGACTTGCCAGACATGGGGAGATATGGGGAGATATGGGGAGATAGCGCGCCCGTATCGAGACTTGCCAGACGGGCGCAAACATGTGGAAGGCGAGCGCCATCTTCAGCCGCACCAGCATCAGCAGCTGCGCGCCGCGGAGCTTGAGCACGGGCAGCGAGAGGAAGCCTAGAGAGAGAGGCTCTCCGAGTCCACAAAAGAAACACGCGCCGCGCAGCTGAAGGACGGGTGGAGGGAGGAGAGCCAGTCAGGCCGGCGGAGGACGACCCGCCGCCACCGCCGCCGCGCTGCTGCCTGGAGAGCCTGGAGGGCGTGGGGAGGAGCAGCAGGAAGACGGAGGAGGCGGCGGTGATGGCCGCGGAGAGGAGGAGCGCCTGCCGGTAGCCGGAGACAGAGATAATAACAGTAATATTAGAATAGTAAGAGGAGGAGCGCCCGGCGGTAGTCGGAGACACTACTACCACTACTACTACTACTACTACTACTACTACTACTACTACTACTACTAATCATAATAATAAGAAGGGGAGGAGCGCCCGGCGGTAGTCGGAGATCAGCGCCGACGCGAGGATTGGGCCAACCATGAAGGAGAAGCCGACCGCCATGCCGAGCTTGCCGACGGCGCCGGCCTTGTCGGCGTCGGTGCCGCCCGCCTCGTCGATGTAGTCCGAGAAGAGCGCCTTGCACACCGAGAAGTTCTGGTTGAGCAGCGCGGCCGGGACAACGGCGAGCCTACGTGCTGAATACGCCGACATCAGGGCGGGAGTACGGTACTGTGCAGTGTGTTCAGAGCACCGCGTGAGTACGGCTGAATACGTGTCCTCTCGGGCGCTAGTCGGGGCACATGAAACACGTATTTCGCCTCTAGGGGCGGCGAGCCACATGCCCGTCAGCGAGTCACTACACAGCGAAATGACGATCGAAGCGAGGGAGGCGGCGGTCCCGACCCAGAGCATCGGGACGCGGCCGACGCGGTCCGACGCGCGCCCAATCACCGCCGCGCCGACCAGCGTCAGCGCCGAGCGGAGCGACGTCTGCCCGCCCTGGCACAGCGCGTCACAGCCGAGGGCGTCGCGCCGGACCTGCATGAACGGAAACATGACGGCCATCGCGGTGACGGAGAGGAAGGAGGAGAGCGAGCCGTACAGCACGCCGCGGTGCCGGCCGGCGCCGGCTCTCGCGGCGGAGCCGGCGCCTGCGCTGGTGGCAGTGCCCTCCCTCGCAAAGCGCACGTACAGCAGCGCCGGGAGCAGCCAGCACACGAGCACCGCGAGGAGGGCGGGAGCGAGGCCATCCCACAGCGGTGACTGCACGGGCGGCGGCGGCGGTGGCGGTGGCGGGCTGAGGCGCCGCAGCAGCGCGAGGACGGGCGACGCGAGCGGTCGAAGCTTCATGTAAAACTCTCCGCAATTCAGATTCGGGCTCTGGCCGTGTAGGGGACGCCCGGGCGCACAGTACGTCCGGCCGCACTAGGGGAGTTCGCTCAGGATGTGTGGCAGCTACGTTGGCTGAGTGTCTTGTCTTGTGGTTCTGTGTGTCGCTCCTGTGTGACCGTCACCGCCCGTCTAGCGTCCACCCATACGCCCGCATACTGCGTTGGTGTCCCAGTCGTTGGGTCGGACTGTGTTTCGCCTTCCCATCAATCAAACAGTACCGTAATCTTTCTATCTCCACTTGCGCTTCTCTTAGCCCGCTCGAGCGGCTCACAAACGCCGCGCTGCGATCTCTCTCGTGTTTTTGACATGTGCGTACGTTCTCTCTCTCTCCGCGTAATCTGCCATGAATGTGTGATGAGTAGTAATCTGCAAGGTGGTTTGCGTGGGTGTGTAGTAATCTGCAAGCTGGATTGTGTGTGTGTAGGTAGGTAGGTAGAAAGGTGAAGAACAGCCAGGCTCGGACTGGACACCAACGCGGTATGGGTGGACGCGGGACAGATGATGACGACACGCACGAGCGACACACAGACACAAACAAGCTCACAAGACACACAGCCAGTAATCTGCAAGAGAAAAGCTCAAAAAAAGTAAACTGGAATTTTTTTTTGACGTTGCCCAGATTGCGCCGCATGCTGCTCTCGTTTGAGACCCTCGTGACGCTGTGTATGACGGCCGCCCGCCTGCTGCGCTCGTGCGTTGAGACCCTCGTGGGCTTCGTGTTCTGGCTAGCACTCTGTTTGATTATCCTTCCAGTCATCGTTCTCGTTTCCTCGCCATTTATCGCGCTCGGCCTCTGCAGCTCCGACAGTGGTGTCGGCATGCCTCCCGCCCACCTCGCCTTGGGTCGCCTTCCATATCTGATTCCGATGGTGCTCTTCGTCGACCTGCCAATCGCCGTCTTACTCTTAGCGACATTGCTGTTCGAGCAACTGTTCCTCCGGAATCCCCTCATCCTCGCCGTCTACAGCCTCTGCCGGCGCGCCCCACAGCTCCCGAACCGCGAGCCAACGCTCCCCGACACCGAGGCCGGTCTTCACGCTCGCGAGCGGCCGCGCGCAAACACCAACGACGGCGCCCGCTACCGCGAGGCGCCTTGCGTTGCATCAGCACCTCGAATGGCCGCGGCTCAGAGCACGGACGACGGGGCCCGTTACCGCGAGCACGCCTTCGTCTGGGCTGCCCTCGAGGGCGACGGCGAGAAGGTCCGACCGGGAGACGTGCGGCTGATCAGTCTGAACTGGCTCATTGCGCTGGCAGAGCGGGGCGGCGTGCTCCCGCGGCGGCAGGACCTGCCAGAGGAGGCCTTCTTAAGCTCTGCTCAGCTGAGGCGGATCGAGCAAGGCGCCAGGCGCGGCTTCAACTCCGTCGGACATGAGGAGGCCATTGAGCGATTCATCAAGGAGCCCTCCCTCTCGTCCTTGCTCGGCTGGCTCGCGAGCTTTTTCGGCCGCAAGCGCAACCCCGACGGGCTGCTCCCGATCATCTCCGTCTCCTACTGCTGGCTCGAAGCCGCGCATCCAGATCGGGAGGGCCGCCAGCTCCAGCTGCTCTCCCGCAAGCAGCGGGGCCTCTACGGCGGGCGCGGCCTGCTCGGCGCGTGCCGCGACTACGGCTTCTCGGACATGGTGAGGCGCCTTGCCTATCGCCACTCTCTTCCTCACCGTCACTTCATTCCTGCCTCGCGCAGGGCGTGTTCCTCGACTGGTCCTCGGGCTACCAGAGGGATCCGGCGCTATTTGCCGAGCGGCGCGCGTATGAGGCGAGCCGGTCGGGCGAAGAGAAGGCCGCCTTCGGTCGCATGCTGGAAAACACGATGGTGAGCACACGCCAGCCCGTTTCCCAGCCCGATAGCGCCACAACATGCACCGCTCTCACGGCACGTTGGCCTTACATTCCGCATTAGGACCTCTGGTACGCGCACGCCTCGGTTACTGTCGTGCTGCTCACGCAGCTGCCCGACGAGCTGCCCGCCGGCTTTGACCGGAGCCGGACCTACGACACTCGCGGCTGGACGACATTCGAGCGCTGCTCGGCAGAGCTGGGCGCAAAGCCCTCCTCGCTGGGCTTTGCCAAGTGGAAGCTCGTCATCGACGTCGCCAGCGACGACGGCGGCGCTCAGCGGCGGCTCCCCGCGACTCCGGAGCGCATGGCGACGCTGCTCGCCACTTGCCGCTTCACCAACGGCGCCGACTCGACGACCGTGCTCGCGCTCTACGAAAAGACGGCGAAGGCAGTGCTGGGAACGGTCGAGAAGCTCGACTACACGGGGCTGCCGCTCGTGCGTGGCGACGCGTGGACTAGCCCTGCGCTGCTGGCGGAGGCGCTGAATCATTGCGAGAGCCTCCGGACCCTCGTCGTAGCTGGGAATCGCCTCGACGACGAGGGCGTGGCGGAGCTTGCGGCAGGGCTCGAGGGCGGCGCGCTCCCGGTGCTTGAGGCTCTCTACGTAGCGGCAAACCGCTTCGGCGCGCGCGGCGTCGGCGCGCTCTGCGGCGTGTTCCATCGCGGCGTGGCGCCGGCGCTGCAGACGCTCGACGTCGCTGCCACGCCTATTGGCGACGAGGGGGCAGTGGCGCTAGCTGCGGCTCTGTCGACCGGCAAGCCGTCGCATGGGCTGAGCTTGGCGTTCTGTGACGTGAGCGACGAGGGCGCGATGGCACTCGCGGCTGCCCTCCCGGCCGCGGGTCAGGGATGTCGCGTGAACGCCTTTTTCAATCGGATCGGCCTCGCGGGCCAGGCGGCACTGCTAGATGCACTCGATGCGAAGCACGGGCCGCAGCCGGGGCACGGCATTGCGGTGCTGCAGGTGAACTTGCTTCCCTGGTCGTGCCCGCTCATTCGCGCTTGGGGACGAGGCGGGCGCCGTGTGGCCGAGAGCGGCCGACTCACCATATAATATACGGCAAAGCGCATGGATCAGAAATTCAGATCCCGGGACAGAGCTATACTTTAGCTGTGTGTGTCGTGCATTTTCCTACAAAAAAGAGAGGTGGATTGAGCGCAAAGACCCCAAAGTGCGCTCGAAAGGTCGAACCTACCTCGCAGGCTGGTAAGACAAAAGAGTTGTGTATTTTTTATCTGAAGAATCTATGCCGTTTATCTCACTCACGTTGTGTCCAGGCGTCGCTCCAGCCCAGCACTGCAGCAGACCGGACAGGGGGCGGGTACCGCTCGGAAGCCGCGAGGCACACACGGTCGTCGAAAGGCCGATACACACCCTTGCGTGCACTCAGGCGAAGAGCTCGGGAGGCCAGACTGTGACGCGGGGCAGGTGGCGGCCGGCTCTGGAGACTCGGAACAGAGACCTCTCCGGCGCGGCTAAGGCTCAGGCGGCGAACTCGGGCGTGAGGGCGTCGAGCTCTGTGAGTTTTTCTTCTGGTCGACCGACCTCTTGGTTGGGCTTGCCTATTTCCAGCCTGGCGGTCCAGCTTCGGGCCGCTGCCGCCGCGATGCCCGCAAGCTCAGCTCCCGATGCTTGCTCCACCTCCTCTCGCCGCGCCGGCCGAGGCGACTGGCGCATCCGCTCGCACCGGCGGCGTAGCGGCTGCACGCGAGGCCCAGGCCAAGCCGAGCACTCTCCGCAGCCCGAGCCAGTCGCGGTGGCAGTCGGGCACTGAATTCTTAGCTTCGGTGAGCCGGTGTGTGTGCCAGTCCGCGCCAGTCCGCGCCCTTGTCGTGCCAGTGTGCTGTGAGAGAGCACTTGGAGCACTTGGAGTGCAGTTATCAACCGCACATCCAGGGCCGGGGAGCTCGTAAGAAGCGCACCCAGCGGGCCGGATGATTGGCATCGGGTTGCGGGCAAGAGAGCCCTAGCCCTGGGGGTGCGCGTTCGCAGGGCAAGGGCCGTAAAGTAAACACCGGTCTCCGAGGTTTCCCCTTAACTGCAGAACGCCCCCTCTACTCGGAGCTAACGGACGTCTTGAAGCTAACGGACCCCCCACCACTCGGAGCTAACGGGGTCCGCTTCCAGTATCTGTATCATTCACTTTATGCCACCGTTGCATATCCGGATATGCAACGGTGGCATAAAGTGAATGATACACCGTCGCAAAACTGCATTGGGTCTCGAGTTCGAATCCCGCAGGTCGACTCGGCGCAAAAAACCCAGACGGGCGTTGTCACTGGTTCGAAACCCACCTTAGCGTTCACCTGCTATCCGCCGGTACCCAAACCGGATGCATCTCCGCAGGACGACCCAGGAATGCAGTTTTGCGACGGTGTATCATTCACTTTATGCCACCGTTGCATATCCGGATATGCAACGGTGGCATAAAGTGAATGAGATACACCGTCGCATCGCACCTCTTGAGCGACACTACGTTTCCGCAGCTGGGGATTCTCCGGGTACCCCTCTTGCTCTTGTGCCCGTGCTGGCCGGATTCCTCCTCCGAAAGTTCGATCGGCCCCTCGTGTGCGTTCTCCCGCTGCCACAGCCCCATCGATCGACATCGCTCGCGTCGCGGCCGTCTCGCTGCTCTTCCGCTCCTTCCTCGCTCGTGGAGGAGGGCATCCGCTTGTGGGCGCGAGAGCGCGGCTTCGAGCTGCCGGCCGGCGCAGCCAGTCAGTGTGGGCGAGGGCTGCGCCGTGCCGTGGTTGTGCTTTGCTGCGCTGCTGCGCGAGTTCAACCCGCCAGCAAGGGCTGCGGCAGGCATGCAGCGCAGCGTTTTCATCGACGGCGAGGGGCGGCTCTCGTCGTGCGGCTCGGCCCCGTTCTTCCTTCCCTCGTATTTTTGGAAAGGGAATTTTCCGAGAACTTTCACTGGATTCGTAGAATCTGGACCATCGTTGGTGCTCCCGATCTGATCGAAGGCACCAGCTGTACCCCAACCTCCTCCCCGGCCCACCAAACAGCGACTGACGCCCTCCGCCCCACCTACGCCGCCACAGGATGACCCTCTCGCCGCCAATCGCTGACGCCACCGCTCCGCCGTTTGTCGACGGCCGCAAGGTCCTCTGCAACGGCAAGGTCGAGCCGTGGACCGGCCCAGTGCAGGAGGTGTTTGCACCCATCTTCAAGGTGAGCCCGCCAACCTCACCCACACTCGCACTGCCGCACACGCATCGTGTGCTAGCCTCCGAGCAGCTTCCGTAGCCGTCAAGCGCCACTCTCTCTCTCTCTCTCTCTGCGGCCGCCATAGCGCCACGTCAGCACACACTTCAGTCACAGCCAGCCGCCACCCAGACATCGCCGGTCTCGACTCTCCCTACCCGTGACACACATCTCCTCGCCGCTGCGATTCCGCCCCACCGGCCCACGCCACTCCCCTCGCCACTCACCCCACCTCGGCTGCTCGCCGAGCGTGCACTCGCTCTCAACCGGCTCAACCCGGCGCAGGCGGCCGGCTCGGAGGAGAAGGTGCTCATCGGCTACCAGGCGTGTCCGCCATCTCCCGCTCACCACCCTCTCGCGTCGCCCTCGGGGAGGAGCGGCCCGCTCATGCCCCGCCGCTGCCCTCCTCGCCACCTCAAGCCTCGCCCTCTCAGCCCTCCCCTCTCAGCCCTCCCTCTCCGCTGCTCCCCTTTTCCCCGCGGCAGGCTCGGATGGACGAGGCGGCGTCGCTCAAGGCCCTCGACGCGGCCGTCGCATCGTGGAGCCACGGCCGCGGCGAGCCCCCCTTCCTCTCGGCCGGCGCCCTTCTCGAGGACACGTCCCGGACGCGTCCGAGACACGCCTCTAGGCGAGTGGGCGCTCGCCACGCCAGAACACCGGATTGCCAAGATCGAGGAGCTCGTCAAGGCGCCCACGCCGCCCCCGGCCGCCCCCCTCTCCGCCGTGCGCTGACTCCTGGTACCCAACCCCCACAGGAGCTGAAGACGGTTCGCGAGCAGATTGTGCAGGTCCAAGACCCCCCCCCCCCCCCCCCCCCCGGGAAAAAAAAAAAATTTAATGTTAGGCCCCCCCCCCCCCCCCCCCCCCCCCCCGAGAATCAAACAGCTTAGCTTGAGCCCCCCCCCCCCCCCCCTTCCGAGACTATGGGAAGGGGCAGTCACCCTTTTAGCACAGGAGAGATGGGAGCGCCCCCCGCCCCCACCTGCCCTGCCTAGGCCCACCCACGAGAGCGCGCCCCGGTGACTGCAACACGCAGGTGAGCGAGAAGATGCGGGTCTGGCACGAGGAGCAGTTCGGACCGCTCGTGCCCGTCGTCCCCTTCCGCGAGCTCGACGACGTGTACGCCTACCTCGCGCAGTCCACGTTTGGGCAGCAGGCCTCGGTCTTCGCCGGCGACGTCGTCAAGTGCGCGCCGCTGCTCGACGCCCTCGCAAACTCAGTCGGACGCGTCAACATCAACGCGCAGTGCCAGCGCGGCGTCGAATCCTAGAAGCTCAACACGGAGACTCGCGCCCCGACTAGCGCTCGAGAGGGCACGTACTCCGCTGCATTCCTCGTCTCAGCGTGTGTTCATTGTATTCGTACCCCCTGTGCTCACGCGTCGCTCCGAACACGCGGGGCACGATACCGTCCTCACACCCTCGTATTCGTACTGCAGGCCCCGACTACCTCCCCTTCTCCGGCCGCAAGTCGTCCGCCCTCGGCACCCTTTCGGTCACGGAGGCTCTCAAGACGGGCCACTTCTCGAGGTTAAGACGAAACACGCACCTCATATTTTGTGTGTGTGGACAGGCGCTCAAGACGGTCTCCACCGAGTACGTCGTCGCCACCAAAGACAACGCGATGGGCAAGGCGGGCATGCTCAGCCTGGCGGGCGCACAGTGCAACTGCGTCGCCTCCCTCATCTGAGGCCCGCCGTCCTCCTTGCTCTCCTGTGCGCCCTGCGGGAGCGGGGGCGTCGCTGCGGCCGCACGCGCCCTCGCCTCCGGGCATTTACTTATGACCGCATGACTTGCCCTGTCGCCCCCCCTTCGCCCTCGCCCTCGCCCCGCCCCATTCCGGACGCCGCGCGATCTCGTCGCTCCAACCGCTGGCGAGCCTCTCCGCCCTAGTGCACAGCGCGGAGTTGTTCTGCCCCCATGGAGTTTCGAGCCTCGCATGCGCGTTCAAAGTCCGGATGCGGATCGTGTCGGCGCTCCTCTGCGCACGCACGATCGTGGGCGCCGGTTGCGCCGTATTCGTCTTCCTCAGTCTCGTGTAATATTTCATTGGGTTTGTTTGATTTTCGAGCCGAAAGGGCCTTGACTTCGCCTCGGGTCCATGCCCCCGAAGCCCACCCTGGGTGAATGTAGAAGGTAGCCACAATGGGTTGCATAGTTGGCTCAATTATAGTCGGGATGTAAAGCTCAATTGCACGCGCGCGCACAAACACCCACTCATCCCGCTCGCGCGTGACGGCGAGCTAGAAAGAAAGGGGGACGAGTATGGTGAAGAATAGATGGCGTCTTCGTGGACTCCAGAAGGTGGAGAAGTCACGCAAAGTCCAGGAAGAGTGGGCGCTGCCGAGAAGCTATGCGAGAAGAGAAAGAGCATAGAGAAGCTTATGCGAGAAGAGAATTTCACAACGAAAGGCTCTCGCAAGAGAAAGAGCATAGCACAGTGGCAGGCCAGGCCAAGTAAGCTCCCGTGGGTCGGGAGGGAGGGCGCATCGTTTTGTTTTGCCATCACCAGCAACCGCCTCTGCGGGGTGGTGATGCCCGTCTCCCTAGAAGAGAATTGGGAGAGGCCGATCGCGCCTCGCCACAGCAAGGGTAGAAGCCACGAGGTTAGTCACAGGCGGCGAGCTTGTTGCGTCGCCTTGAACTATCATGGAGAAGCTCGGTCCTGAGATCCCTCGTCAGGCACCGCCCGGCCGAACTTCAGAGTCGCGGTGCTCCTCAAATACCGCTCAAACGCCCACGATGTTGTGGAGGGGACATATGCTGATGATCCTGGCCCGATTGGTTCGCTCAGAAAGCTTCTGGGCGGTCGTCAAGGTTCGCTCCCCGCACACCGGCCCGGAGTTTGGGTACCCTAGACCTATTGCAATGTGTCTCGTTGAGCCATCACTACCGGCCCGCGATATGCGCGAAGCGATCGGATATTGAAAAAGTGACACACATCAAAGCGATAAATCTGTAAGGTTCTGTGAGAAAAGTGACACGCAAACGGAAAGCAGACTACTGTAACATGAGTAGCAAGAGATATGAGACTCTGCATCTGTCTGGACGTCGATGTGCGGTAACTACATGAGTCTCATGCGACGGCACAGCAACGCCGGCTACAGCAAGGCGACGCCGGGAGAGAGCTGTGCGGTCGCCATCATGCCAGCTCCTCCCAGGAAAATTTTTATAAGCCTGCGACTGTACAGAGAGGTAGCACGCCGCGGATCGATGCAATCCTACCACACCCCGTAAAGAGTTGGAACCCAGCCCAAGGCGCGAGACGCAGCGCCGCATTCGCAGGCTGTTTTTGACTGCTTCTCGATTTTGTTTTTGTTTTAAGTCTAGGGGGCCCGGACCCCTCAGAGGCGGCGGGCGACTAGGTCCAGCCCTGGGTGGCGCAGGTTGTGACATTTGGCGATTCCGCGACTTACTGGGCCCCTGAGCCGCTACCCGTGTGCGATATTTTGTGGCCCGGACATGATACTGATAGTAAACGGGTCAGAACCGGCCAAACACAGGCTACAGCCCCACACACGCGCCCGCCATAGCTCCTGGAGAGCATGCGCGAGTGACGCGCTGCAAGCCGCGAGAGTGGCATCAGAGGCAGGAACGACGTGCTCTTGCTGCACCTCGCAGCTGCACCAAGTGTGCTCGCAGTGTATGCCACGGCCACTGCCTGCGGCATTGCTCTCGTGCAGCTAGGCGATGCAGGTCCATCAGCAGGGCTCATCCAATGCGAGCGCACATTGTGCGTAGCCGCGGGCAGGTGGCAGTGCACGGCCGCACACCGGCTGTGGCGGCTCGTATGCCCCCGGCAGTGCTGCTAGTCATCAACTTGCGTATTAGGGCCGCAGCAGACTGCTGCTGTGGCAGCAGCAGCAGCCTGCTGCTGCCTGATTCAGTCAAGCCAGCGGTGCAGCGAGGCGTGCAGAATTCGCGCGGTTTTGTCCCTCCTGAGGCTGAGCGCATTCGAGCCCGTCGACCGGAGTTGGATGGTACCCCGCGTCTCACTGAGACGCGGGGTACTGGCCATGGCCGGAGAACGGTGGCGAGCGGAGCGAGCGACAAAACAACGAGAAAAACACCGATCTGACGATGTCACAAAACGTCAGATCTGCGCCACCCAGGGCTGGACCTAGTCGGGCGGGCGCCCACTCACCCAGAGATCAAAAACGCTCGGCCCGGGCCGACCCCGCGGCCATCGCCGCTGCCGCCGCGTCGTAGCCGGGCGAGCGGAATAGGGCAGCCCTAGAGAGCACCTTGAGGCCGTTCAATAGAGCCCGTTCTTTAGTCGAGAGTCGCTCGCCGGCCGGCGCAGTGCTGCTCTGACCGCTCCGCTGGGCCCCCTCCGGGCCGCCGCCGCGGAGACGTGCACATAGGCAATTGGTATTTTCATATATGAACTTCAAAATAGTATTGGCTAGTCTAATTCTACTCATCACAACTCGCCAGGAACACCCCCACACTATAGGGTCATTGTGAGCCCTGCTAGAGGAC